GGAGGCCGTGATTAGAGCGGCGGAGGAGGGGAATGTGAAGGAAGGGATGCTGGATGAGCTTAAGGGAGGTTAGTAAAACGGGTCCAGACCCAAATCCAATAAGGTTTTATAATATATATATATATTTGTTTGCAAATAATTGTTATTTTTCAATTCGTAGCTATAAGTTCGCATATCATAGTTTATAAGTCTAGTATAAAGTTTTTTTGGTGCCATTTTAACAATATTAATATAATATTACAATTAAATTTAATTACTAGGGAAAAGTATAAAACTAAGCATGTACTAAAAATATTTTTAAACATAATCTTAATTTATAACTTTTGTTGGTAGATTTGCCCATGGCTCGAAAGAAATCACTGCAGAGGTTCCTTGAGAAGCGCAAGGAAAGGTACTGGTGCCTTCCATTTGTTTTCTTCCTGTTTCTACTTTTGAATTGCTTTATTATTATTATTATTCTTATTATTATTATTATTATTATTTTGTATATATAATCTCATATAGTTGAAACCACCCATTTATCTTCTTAGATTTTTTAAGAAGCAAACTTTGGCAACTAATTTTAAAGAATTTTCTAGTTAACAAAACCATATAATATATAGTGAAATCAATTTTGGAACCAAACACATGAGGCCAAATTATGAGACAAATGTATGAACGGATATTAGGTTCTTCTATGGTTTGCTCCCGTAAATTTTGGGTAGAAAAAACTCAAATAATTCATTACGTGTTATGGAGTAGTAGGAATCCAATCAGAACCATCCTTATAGGAGTGAGGTGATATACACCATAAATAAAAGGAGTTGTAATTTCTAAATTAATTCTCTAGCCACCCTTGAATGATATAGATTACCCCTTTATATAGGATGTTCTAATAGAATATTTTCTCATTATGGAGTTCATGTTAATTTTAGTTGCATAATTTTGTAATCTCAATACTTCGTAGTAATTCTTACATAAAAGTTACTTGAGGATTAAAGCATTAAAAAAAGTTATGGTGAAGGAATCTTCTGCAAACTCCATTCAGTAGAGAAGAATCCTTTGGCCGGCAATTAGGCACGTTTGTTTTCCTTCTAGATATTTTTTTTAAAATATAAAAAGATAAATGAAATACAAAAATGGTAAATGGGCACGTGATTGACCACGCTCCTTATGTGAGGCTTTGGCTTGGCCCGGGTTGTGAATGGGGATCACGGGTCAGTGGACCCCACAAAGGTCAATAACTTGTGGTCCTGACTTGGTTGGAGCTGCATGATTTCAGTGATTTGCATATTGTTTTTTTATTTTATTTAAATGCATTAGAGAGATTATTATTGACTTTCATGTTAGGTTTTACTTTTAAGGATTAATTGCTTTTTATTTTCTTGGATGTGGGGACGTATTACATTTCGATACCATGAAGTATGAAGTATTTATATGAGCGATCGTAAAGTTTGTTTATCTACGTGGATAACCCTGGGATGGGTGACCCTAGAATTGATCGGCAAGTTAACACTTTTTTTTTTGTTTTCGAGTTTGAGTTGTTTTTAGATGTTAGTTATGATTACGGTTAGGCTACAACTATGGTTAGAGTTATGGTTAAGGCTCAAGTAAAAAAAAAATAGTTACTTTTAGTGTTCGGTTAGTCTTATAACAATCAAATTTTAGTGAAAAATCATTGCTTTAACCCTAAGCCTCACCCGACCCTATTCTTAACCCTAACCATAACCCTAACGCTAACCAACATTTAACAAGAATTCTAAAATTATGTTATTCTTTTTTTTTTAAATAAACAAATAAAAAGAAAAAAAGAAAGAAAACAAATAGTAGTGTTAATTTGCGGATAGATTCTTGGGTCACCCATGTGATTACAATCTGGACGCGAAAGTCGTTTGGTAGGCGGGAATGAGGTGGAATGGAATGACATTCTCACTTCTCATTCCTTCATACCAAACAAACCTATTTTTTAGATGTTGGAATGACCATTCTCAGGGAATGACCATTCCCACTTTTTGTGGGAATGAGCATTCCAAGTGAGAAGATAGGGAATGATCATTCCCATTCAAAGGAGAATCAAATCAGTTAGGTATTTTTTAATTATACCCCTATTAATAATAAGTTAATTTATACCCCTATTCAAGGGAGAAGATAGGTATTTTTCAATTAGACCCCTATTTTTCAATTATACCCCGATTATGATATGAGTAATTTTGATACTTTATCAAATGAGTTAATTTATATATCTAGAACTGTGGATATCATTCTTTATATTTTTTTGGACCTATGAAAGATGCGATAATCTTTTATTTAATTTTCTTTAATTTTTTAAGACTAAGAAATAGTGAGTATTGTTTAAAAAAATATAAACAAAACATACACTTGAGAGATAACATGCACATTAGTATAACATGCACCAAAATTAATATAACCTATGCATAAATAAAATTGTTTAGTTATTATCATTAATGTTTATTTTTATCTTATTAAAAATATATGTTGTTGTAAGGACATTATTAGAAAATGTGATTCCATTCTCACTTGTGAACTAGTGATACCAAACATGGGAATGTGAATGAGATTTTCATTCTAGCTTCATTTTACAAACGTACCCAAACATGAGAATGGGAATGACCATTCCATTCCCACATACAATCCATTTCATTCATTCTTCCATTCCATTCTTATTTCTGTCCATTCTCGCGTACCAAACGAGGCGTTAGGGTTACTGATGTAGATATGCAGAGTTCATGTTCACCCCTATAATTACGTTGTAACCAAGGGTGCCAGAATGTAATTTTTTGAGTAGTAAACATTTACTCTTTTCTAATATTTGTTTACTTAATCACTTATTTGACTATAAATGAAAATTTTCTACAATTAACTTATATTAGTTTTTTTTATTACACTAGAGAGGATGTGTGAGTTTCATATTAGGTTTTACATTTAGGATTAATTACTTTTTTTAATGGAAGGATTAATTACATTTTTGTACCTTGAAATATGGAGTATTATATGAGTGACCCTGAAGTTTGTTCATCAATGTGGGCAACCCTGACACAAGTGACCTTAGAACCTTTCGGCAAGTTAACACTACTTTTTGATTGAGTTGGAGCTGTTTTTGGATGTTAGTTAGGATTATGGCTAGGTTACAGCTGTGATTAGAGGTACGATTAAGGTTCAAGCAAAAAATTACTGATCATTAGTATTCGGCTTAGGCTCGTAACAATTAAACTTTAGTGAGTAATCATTGCCTTAACCCTAATCCTCACCTGACCCTACTCTTAACCCTATCCCTAATTCTATGTTTGGGAGTTCACTAAGGGAAGGAAAGGAAAGATAATATAGGAAAAAGGAAAGGTAAGGAAGAGAAGGAAAGATATAATATCTTGTTTGGGAGTTTTGTCAGGGGAATTGAGGTAAGCTTCAATTATATTGTTTGGGAGTTTTAATTATGGAAAGGGAAGGGAAGTAAATGAATCTTAGTCATTGATTCATTAGATGGTCAATATGTCTCTTTCATTAAAAAATTTACTTTTCTTCTCTTT